TCTTGTTTTCTTGTTTTTTCCCGATAAATAAGCGCTTTGTCCAACAATTCGCGTTATATTTGCTTTTTAAGGAAAATGTTGGGAAATTGTTCTTAAAGAAGTTCTAGGTATATAGGGGGTACCCCAAGAACCGTGTATTGGGTGTGTGGCTTCCCTTTCAACCAGCCCCAAAATGGGTCGCAGCAAAGAATATGAGCCCGTATCTTGCTTGCCACTCCATAGTTGTCTGCCAATCCCTCAATGCGGAAATTGCCGCTCTTCAGACCAAGGATCACACATTTTTGAGGGGGCTTGTTCGCCCGCCCTCATGTTGCTTTTGTTTGCGAACTGTGGGCCGAAATTTAAGCATATAATGTGTTGTTTGGGGTCAAAAGCAGAGGTAGATTTGTCAAGCAACACTCAAACAAGGGAAGCTTACATTTTCCCGCCACGGCCCATTGGGGGCTTCCAACTCCCCTTCTGGGGGGCTGGATCACAATTACACGCTTGCTTCCTTCTGGCCGCATTTGGAATTCAAAGTCCTGTACACAGAGCCTCCACTTTGAATGGAGCCTCCTGGTCTCCCATCGATCGGAGCCAACTGGTAGGGTGAAGCCCTTCATTTGCACCATGCCCATGCGCCTGGACGAAGGCCGCTCGGCACCATCAATAGGACCCGTAGGACCCGGGGCTCACAAATCGGATGGGTTTCCACGTGAAGCCATCCAAACAAGTGGACCCTTTGAGCATTTTCCGATGCTTGGACCGGTATCCGAAGTCCAGGAAAGGTGGTTGACTCCATGAGAGCGGTCAGGAACGTTTCTGCCGCGTGAACTTCTATCCCTAGTTTCCGGGAAGGTCCACTGGAGGTCATCCTCTAAAAGGTGGTGTTCAACTTTTCTGCCAGGCAGTAGCCTGGTTTAGACATGGTGAGGCGTCAGATGGCGAGCTCTCGTGGCGTTTATAGCGTATGGATTTATGCTGGCCTGACAAGAGGCTTTGTGCTGGGCAACTGTCACACTGTATGTTTGGGCATTGTAGACTAGGTCGTTGTGCAAGTCTGGTTTCAGTTTTCAGTGTTCTTTCCAGGCACAAATCCTCGTGTCTGTTCACGCACCAAGTATTTGTACAGCATACGCAGCCAGGAAGCCATACGGGTGTACGGTAGGGGCTTTGCGACTGCACCTGAGGTTGGAACCAGTCACTTGGTGGCAAGAGTGGTCATTTGAACACTGGCTCTACTCTCTCAGAAAAGGGACCACGTATGCAATGCTTGTGAGATCGGAATGTACGAGTTGTGTGCAAGCCTTCAGTTGGTAACATCGGTCCTTGTGCTTGCAGTTGCCATGTTCTTTTGCTTGCTAGACTGTGGATGGTGTTTCATGTTAATCCAACACCATGACGCCTTTTGCTTTGGGACATATTCGGCCACATTGACAGCCACATGCCTTGCTTTGGGCAAATGCGCCTTTGCGCTGTTTGGACGAACTCGTGATACAAGCAATGTAGTTGCAATAGCAGAAGGATGCTGGAAACTGTTTTCGGACGAGCGCTGCAAGTGATTGCTCCCAAGAGCCAATCTGATATGAAAGAGTGGCAGCTCTTAGCTTGGATTGCAAGCCGCCTGGACCGGCAGAAGCTCCACTTCATGTTGGATGTTGCTGGAACCTGCAGCTTACACGATATAGTTGTCGGTTTCGTGTCACTTGCGCCCCTTGTAGGATCCAGTTCAATCTCTCGGACTTCACCCGCCGCGCCTACGGCACCAACTACATCGAGACCTTGCGAGTGCAGCTGCACGCCAACTGCCGCGCCTCAGCCGAAGCCTGCAGATCGGTTCGGGGCCGCACAGGAGTCGAGCGTCGAATGCTCGATATGCTGTCGCGAGTCTTGCAAGTTTCCAGTTTCTAGGTGGACCTGGAGTTATGAAATCTGAGCTTTTTTCCGAGACTCTGGGGGGGGGGGGGGAAATTTTGTCGGGGTCTTAGCTTTGTTTCGTAGATTTTGAGGAAATCCGACCTGCTCTAAGGGTTGAACCCTTTTAAAGTGCTCTTTCGATTGCTCACTTGGAGTAGCCAAAACAGATGTCTGGACGCACTCTGAAAGCAGTCTGAAATCCGTCTTCATCCCCCGGCCAGTTGAAAAGTTATAGTGGTCCCGAATCGGAAGCCTCCTTGTACCTTGTCGTGGTTGGCCACAGTAGGACTTTTTGGTTGAGAGTGAGGCTGCAAGTGGCATCCGAGGGCGGCGGGTGCGATTGAGTGCGACTTGCGAATAAGCTCAGTGAAGCTGTTGGCAGAATATCTAGCGTTGATAGAGGTAGACCGTGGTTGAACACAAAATCAGGTTTTGGGGGGTTCCAATACTCCTGGGGAAATTGCAGGCAAAGCGAGAGTCTTGTGTTTTGCCCAATAAAATTTCTTATCACACTGAACGCCTGTACTCCGACAGGGGCGTGCACACTCCATATTTGTTAATCAGGAAACAACGGGTTCAGCTCTCAGACTCAGACTCATTGTTTATTGTCATCAGCCGAAACTGACGCATGCGAACAGTTCTGCGGGAAATTATGAGCATTTAAAGATTGAGAAATACATGATGATACATGTAACGTGCTTGTCCACAAGAAGTTGCATCATGTCACTGCATGCCCTGTTTGGGCTCATGGCTTGACTGAGCAGGGTCATTCCCACATTTGGGCATGCTTGATGATGGTACAGGGACTCGACAGCTGCTAGCTTTATACCGCACGTTGTAAGCGTGGGTACTATAGTGGCCAAGTTGTTCGCAACGCAGAGTGAGTCGACGTGTTTGTTTGCCTTTCAACACTATGGTGAATCCAGGTCACACGATTGATCTTATATCTTTCACCTCAAAGAAGGGAGCACAGATTTGAAGCGCCAAAACCCGGGCCGACGGGTAGCGGTCGCCGGTCAGTGCCAGAGTCTCTAAGTCACAGGTATCCGCCGCATCTACTTCTCGGACCGCCTCTACAGCGAGGAGGAGCTGCCCCCTGAGTTCAAGCTCTTCCTGCCGGTGGCCTGGCGCAAGCGTTTGAGGCGAAGACATCAACTTTTTGCCAGACTCCGGGGGTGTTTCAGGGGAACGACATATATGTGATATCGTGTTTTGCGGGACCCCCAAAGTGACTGTTAGATTATATTTTGCTTGCCAACTGGGGATACATCCAGCTGAACTGACTGCCGCTCAGATGTTGTTTAGTGGAAGTTAAAGTTGGGGAAGACGAGGAAGCAAAGCCACATTATTCATTATTCCATTTGGCTCCGCTTTTTCATTTGGCCTGCTCATGAGTAAACCTAACTAGAGGTGTTAAACAACAAGTAGATCAAGTCGATCATCCTGTCCAATGAACTTCTTTGAGCGGGGCACCAACATACCCATTCCACATATACCCAACGAGGGTGTTGTGAGCTTCTTGTGCGTTGTTTGTTTGTTTGTTTGTTTGTTTGTTTGTTTGTCTGTTTCTGTGTTTCTGTGTTTCTGTGTTTCTTTGTTTGTGTGTATTTGTTTGTTCTATTTATTTTGCGCTCCCATTTTGTGTCTGTTGCTGCTCGTACTGCTCGAAGGTGGCGCAGAAGGCTCAAGCGCAAGCTGCACCTCCTGCGCAGTGCTGCTCAGCTAGGAAGCATCCGGAAAGGATCTGGGGTGTTGGAGCAATTGGGCGCGGGGACGGGAAATCAATGCAAGGAGTGACATGGGACAGCTGACAAGACGGGAAATGACAAATTGAGAAGTTGTTCATTCACTTGGAACCAGAGGAGAAAAGCTTGGGATGCATTTATACTGAAGTGATCTACACAGTCGAGGAACCAGTGTTGATAGATTCAATGTCTGAATTTGGCAAACTGTCCAGCAATATTGACGAAGAGTGTAGTCTACAAGTCCAAACATTGGCTTTGAGCACTGCACGCATCAAGCCATTTCATGTGCTTCGTGTTCACCTGCTGAGGAGATCAAGAACTGAGCTGGCGCGCAAGAGGTCTGTTTCACTGGCAAGAGGATGACGGTGCAGACGTTTATACGATGAGCTGAGGATATCACGCATGAGTCCCTGGTGTCTGTGGCAAGACTGGGAGCTTCCCCTTAGTAAATGTGGCGTTTGCAGCATGCACAGCATAAGCTTGGTGAGCGCATGGGCAGATAGCGACAGCCGATAGCGTCGGACATGTGTGTGTGTGTGCTTGTGTAAGGTCAGCGTTGATCCATTCGAAGTTGAGAACCTTGGCAGTGCGTGACTCATCAAGGCGTGGTTTAGCTTAAGCGATTATCGATCATTTTGACAGTGATAGCAAAACAGGCTTGGTGGTTTGTTGATACGCTCGATAGTAGATGTGTGTGTGTGTGTGTGTGTGCGTGTTGGTCTTTGTGAAACATGTGAAATTGAAAATCGAACATCAACGGACCCCTGAGCAGCAGAAACTACGCAGCTCGTTCTCTGCCGGAATATCTCGAACTGCCGTCAACGCTTGAAACCGAGCAAGACGGATGCATGGCGCTGGGCCGAAAATGACCAAAACGTGGCAATTGGTTTTGAGGGTTGTGACTTGTACAATGATCCGGTTGAAAGGCTAAGCATCTCAATGCAAGGGTGGTTTAGTGCCCAACATGTTGGCGCTTGGACTTATGCTACAACAGCTTTCTGTTGTGAAGCTGCAAGGCCTTTGGATCTTTCAGCTTTGCCAGCTGTTTTTTTGATCCACAGAAATGGCATGGTGTTGTACCGATGTTCAACAAGTTGATACGTGATTGAAAGCAGGCCCGCACACGCCAAACCATTATGAGAACGGCAGGATGTGAGGAGAGAAACACGATATACATATATATATATATGTATATATGTACATCCGTCATATAAAAAGTTTGCCTATCCGAAATCAAGCTATCCGTCAAAGCCATCATTTGTCAATGCCTGCCTCTGCGAGAAGTTGCCAACTGCGAGGCTCTGGTTGCGGGGGACATGCCCTGAGAAGGCTCGGTCAATGCAGTTGTCAGATGCCTAGGAGCTGCAGCATCAGCGGACCTCGACCTCCACTTCCGCTGGGCTCCAGGAAGCCGTTGAGTCCAGTCGTCCAGTGGTGGTTGATTCCTTGCGAAGGAACATGGAACCCAGGAACCCCAAAGAGGGTTCTCCATTTTGGGGTCCCTCTAATGGTGAGCAGCGTCGTCCATGTTAATCCGATTGGGAGTAGATAGGTGGAACACCAAGAAGTTCCACCGGTTTCAGCTTGGTCCCTTTCATTTATCACTGGAGCCCACCTAGGACTGTGACCACTGGACATGGAGGTGGAGTTGTTCCTGCTTTCATGATATTGCCCATCAGTTTTAGGAAGATCCAACTACAGTATTGTTTGTTGGGCGTGGTATCTGAAATAGGTGTTTGTTGCCAGCATGCTTGCACCACAGGGAGGGTTGCCCTTCCGTGTGACGCGGTCGCTAAGCATTTTCATTTGCATCGGGCAAGAGCTATGCCATTGAGCGCCCTTTACACTGATATTGGTGAATCATGGCGATTCTATCTAGGTAGCTATCTAGGTGGCTGTTGACGAGTCGAAACACACTGGGAGTTGGCTAGGCTTGTTGCTTGATAAATGTCCGTCTTGCCATGTTTGCTGTCCGCAGGAAGCAGCCTTCTCTCTTAGACGTTTGTTCATGCCGTATTGATGTGTGTGTGTGTGTGCGCGGTTTTTTTTGACGGCAACCTTTTCACCTTGGTTTTAAGCCAGGAACAAGGGAAAGCCGCTATTTTCTGGGGTGGAGGCGTATTTTGACGCATACCCCGAATACGGGGCTTGGATCGTGGATTAGGATGCCAGTCAATGCGCAATGCGCCAAGGCCGCAATGGGCGACATGAAGGCCCTGTGGCGAGAGGTTTCCAAACTTCAGGCACGATGCTAGCGCGGTGCCAGTGGCTCTGGGGAATGTGCTCCTGTTACGATTACGTTTTTCTGCACGTTCTTCGACTTGGCTGTTTATCTTTGCTTCTGTGTGTGTGTGTGTGTTTGCTTGTTTGTGACTGCTGAAATGGTTTCTTGTGGCTGGCTTACTTCTTGGGCAGCAGATCAGAGGGACGCGGGTCTAGATATCGACCAGTGTTGTGTATGCATTCCTGGTCAGGGCTTCCAGCTCGGCGCATGATGGCGCATGCTCTCATTCGCCTTCAGGCTTCGCAGTGCACTTTGTCAACCTGTGGCTCGGCCGAACGGGCTGGGATCACTCAAGTCCGATCACAGTCCCGTGGCTGTCCATGTGAATATTCGGGCGAAACAGGAGAAGAACCGCTTGCTAGTGGGATCCAGGGGTATATCAAGTCCAGGCCTTTCCTAGAGATATGTTTCTTTTCAAGCTCCACTGCGTGAAATGTTAAAGTGCTGGTGCAATCCATGCGTCGAGCCCATCTGAAATGTTCTTTATCCGTTTAGAGCCTGCTTGAATGCGCTTGGAATAGAACCGGATTCTAGAACAATCTAGAGTGACCCCAAAGAAGTCGGCGGATGAGGGATATGTAACCGAGACTATCCTTAAACCAACAAGGGCACTGCTCAACTGAGGCAGTTTGGTCCAGTTTTCTAAGAGGGCCTACTAACATGGGAACTGGAAGCGCTGATTATTTGATTTCACAGACGCGGAGAGCTGCATGCAAGTCGCGGCCCAGGTGTCCAAGAGTTGCTTGGATGCAGCGAGCTGGCTGCGATTTGTTTGGTCGGAGTATGTGCAAGAAAGGTTCGGTCATCAATTTTGTCCCAAGAAACACGGCTTGGTAACCCGGACTAACTTGTCGGAGACCCTACCAGAAACACCCAAGAGGCCCTCAACACCCAACCTGCATTTGGACCATCCTCCCTCAGGGTCGACTTGGATCAGAGGACCAGCGGTGAGCTGCCCAAACTCAAGCAGCAGTTGGAGCTGCTGCAGAACCTGGTTCTCACGTGCCCCGACAGTCAGCCCAGTGGGCTGTAACAAATGCAGGGTACCAAATATGGCTTGCACAGGCTGAGGGATGTCCGTGTCTTGCAGCAACTTAGTAGGTGCTCAATGTTAGGAGGCAGTTCATCTTTGAGAGGACTTTCCCCAGATTCCAGTGGACTCTCCGATTTCTCCTTGCCTTGACGAAGCAGTTCTTGGGGTTCATAAGCAGGAGGTACTCGTAGATGTCTTGCTTCGCGAAGATCAGACCGTCTAGCACAGCCTTTGCCCACGGTACATGCTAGACACATGGGAGACCGCATTCAGCATGTTGTTCCTTGTGTGCAGCATGTCAGCCGCCAGGTACAAGGATGCCCTGTCAGACATGACGCAGCGGCTCCTTGTGCAGCAAGATCGCAAGGGTATTGCAGCACTGCCAATTACCAACACAACCGAAGCAAAAGCAAGAACCAGTCAGCCCTTCGGCTGGCTTTGAGCGTTGGGACCCAGATGGCCTTTGCTTGCGCTGATGGTGCGATCAGAATGGACTGTGGTGACTGCTGCGGTTCGCAGCGCCACCTAGCTGATTTGGAAGTGATGCGGGTGTCCAACGGTTGACTACAATACAGCTGTTAGCAACTGTTGATTCTCCTACTTTGGGTTGGCTCCTGTGTGGCTGCTGGCGGCCGGGGCAGTAAATGGTCATTGTGTTTTTGCAATGCCTTGATGGCCATTCCATTCATATGTCACGTCATTAGCTGCTCCTGCCAATTCGAGGGCAACCACCAGCTTCTTTTGAGTGCCCTCGATTCATTTTTGAGGTGCTACGATCCATTTTGCAAATAAGGTCGCTCAATCCTAAATCAAAGAGGCCACTGAAGCCATTTACTCAGGGTTGCCCTCCCCAGCAGATCCCTCCCCAGTCCAGGCAAATCGAGCCGCAGCGACACGTGAATGCGAATGACACTCACACGGGGGGATCGAAGCTGGGCAAATTGAGCCGCAGCGACACGGGAATGACACTCACGCAGGGGGGACCGACACTAGTGTAAGTGACCTTCAAGGGGTAAGTGTTCGGGCCATTCCGGGCCGGCCCCAATCAAATGTGGCAGTTGTCACACTTCGACACGGCTAGCTGTTCGATTTCAACAGGATCCCAACCCCTATCAAGCCGAAAAGGACGCTTTGCAAACGAATCATAGGGGCACTTAGGGCACCGACACGGCCTCAAGTGGCCTCGATTCAAAAACACGTTATGTGCCCTTGGCACTAAAAATATGCTGGCATATGTGTTTTCTTCTCGCTCTGCATGTGGATACTTTGATAGAGCCAGCAAGCCATGCGATCACAAACACCTGCAGATCGATGCCCATAAGTCAAGTCTAGTCACACATCAACTCCTCGGTACTGAGGCTCAAAGGTTCGCTTCGGGGACCGGAGGCACTTGCAAGTGAGCCAGTGACAGGCGGGGGGGGAGGATGCCAGAGGGTGGCAGAGTGCTTTGCGCAGTGTGAGCCGTGATGTTGGAGGATGTGCTTGGTTTTGACCATGCTTTTTATGTGTTGCCGCGTAGCTTCCGCTGTGTTGAAGTCAAAAACTGGGTGCTGGTAGGGGATTGCTCATTTTCTTAGTGAATGAGCAGATGACAGCTCAAGTGAACATTAGTTGCTTCGGGTTATTTCAATCCCTCTTATTTGCCATGTGGACAAGTCCAGAAGGTTGCTGTGTGCTTTGCTTTCCCTTTGGTGACGTCAATGTGCGGATAGCAATCCATGCTTACGTCAAGGCAAACATGTCAAGACAGGAGAGCGTTACAGGATACATTTAGTGTATATATATATATACATATACTGACCCATGTGTAGCCAACAGGGCTATGCAATTGCTTCCTGCGATTTGCCGAGTGCTACTTGTTGGGAGCTCATTGCTGAATAGGTGGAGTATGCCAAGTAATGTTAGACACGCAACCTCATGCTATAGACACAATTTGCATGCAGTTCTGCGACATATAATCCCGCGGGCAGCGCCGTCAATGCTTACATTTTTTAGATGAACAACCCTTACCGAAATTGAGGGGTCTGTGCGAAAGACGCAGAAATGGGACTTGTTTGTCACTGTTGATGGAGTTTGGGTGCTTGTTTAAGGCTGCTTATTCTAAGGACCTACTATGTCATGTCTCTCACATTGAGCAAATGTGGCATTATATTACATAAATTTGGCTAGACATGTTATTCTGTTGAAACTTTCCAACATCAGCTTTAAACCAACACAAGCGCCACTCCTCAGTTGCGTGGCACAAGCCCCTGTACACGTCCATGTTTGCTGAGTGGCTTTCTGTGTTTGCACCGCGTTGGGCATTGCGAGCACATGGCCCAGTACTTATACTTGTCCCATGGTTGAGTAGTTTGACATCTGGCCACTAAGGTCATGAACCCCTTGATCAGCATTTTAGACACCCATTGCGAGGGCTATTTTGGACCTTTGACACCTGGTTCCCTGTCTCACCAGGTCCTTTGTGCTTGGCAGCTCCCAGCTTGGCAGCGCACGCCAGGCCGGGGTTGCCAGGTGGATTTTCGGCATTCCCAGAAGTGCGAAGAGCTGTTCCCAAAGACCGGCTTCAGACACCAGCTTAAGTTGACTATATTGAACAGGGCTCCTTAAAAGATACATTTTGCTCATTTGAAACATGGCTTTTCCCACCAAAATAAGAGGGAACCACCATTTACAAGGCAACGTTCAGGTGTATAGTGTAAGGATCCCTGTTGAACACATCTTCAACACGTCAAAACTCTTGCCGCGTGTGCAATGTGAAAATCACCTTCAATCACCCGAGTGTTTGTCATAGTGCGAAAATCACTGTCCAACCGCTAAGCTGTGATTGACAATGTAAAACTATGTTCAATTTTTCGGGTGTCAGTCACAATGTGAAAATAACTTCCAAACATTTCGGGTGTCACTCATGTGTGATAATCACCTTCAAACTTAGGCCACCCTCGCTGCAAAGCGTCAAGCCGCTCGATGCGGACATTATACAATGATCCGCGGCCACTGTTGGGATGTGAGTTTGTTGCTTTGCGGACTACCGTTTCCATCCCGGCAAGGGCCGGTCGCTCCTTGCCTGACCATGTTCACAAACGGGCCATGTGGCCTAAGACGCTTTACAAGGACGGGCCTTTGGAAATGGGAGCATGCTGGGGTGAGCTCTCGGGCAGTCTCGATTGCGCGCCTGAGAGACTTGGCGTCAGAGCCTCTTTTCTAAGTGGCAAGCCCCGATGCGATGTGGATCTGTGCACTTTGGGCCGCGGCGTCTTGATAGCTTAGCGCTCACGATGCGATGTACACTCCCATACTAAGTACGCAACTAGTACGCGGAATGCACTCCCGCAGCTGGAGCCTGGAAAGTGACACTTTTGAGAACAAAAGCAGCGCGCGATGTATACGGTCGCAACAGCTCGAAAAGCAAGCTGTTCACCGCAAAGCGGCACTTCCAACTCTCATAAGTTCGAAAGTGCTTCGCAAATTGCATTCCCGCAGCTGGAGATTGAAATTTGCATGAGGTTGCGTGGCATGGCCTGTGTGGGCAAGCCGTGTTTCCAGGCTTGTGACAACTCAGACACTTTCTGGGCTTATCCCTTTTTGTTACGGTTTAGAATGCCCTCAACAAGCAGTTGGGGGACAATATTGTTTGTGCGCTGGCTGCATCCCGTTGGGTTCGAGGGAGGGGAGCTCAAGGGCAGCCGGGCAAACTGATTTCTCGTTGTCCAGAGTTCTTTTCATTCACCGTTCGTGGGATCTTGTTCAAGGGAACCAAAGGGGAACCAGCCGTTTGGGGTCTCCCCAGCTTGGAGACGAACCCAACTGCCAACAGTGTTGGCGGAGCCTAGCAAGAGTTATTGGAGGACGTGTGGCGCACCAATTTCAAGATTGCGGAGTCTGACCTGAAGCAATTTGACAACATCATGAGGAACTCCCTTGGAGTAGCGCAAGGTTAGACAATCAGAGTTTACAATGGGCATTCTGACGTCAAGCGATGCTGTTCGAATCAACCTCTTACTTGCACCATTGATTAATTAAAGGGCAGCTGGGAGGACGAGGACATCTCTTTGACATGGACCTTAGAGTTGGGCTATGGGCACAGTTGGTGTTGCTTATGCATATTGCTTTCCCCTTTCCAAGAGTGGCGTGGAACTGACTCAACACCAATCTGGTGTTGTATCGTCCTTGAGGCAGTGTGCTACCGTGAGTCTCTATCACAACCACCCAGGCTGCACGGATGCCCTCAATGGCCAGCTGGCATTCTTTTTGCACGAGCAATGCAGTTTGCAACAACGTCAGAGTATGTACGCAGGTGAACGGCCAATCATGTTGGTCCCGATCAGTATTGCATGTTTGTGGCTTTACGAGCACTACGACATGTAAATCCGCATGATACACATATACCTGTGTATATACATATATATGATAATATATATATACACACAAACACTTACGGTTTGACAGGGCGTTTGAGGCGCTGTTGGTAGGCCCTCTTCAATTGGTTTCCACTTTGTCTATAAGTCAGGTCTTCTCAGTTGTCATGGGAGCCTGAGAGCAATGGATTAAAAGGGGGTCGGCATATGTGGAGTTCTTTCCCGAAAGGCATCACACCCAGGATAGATAAAGGCATGTGTATGAGGTTCCCCTGCTTAGGGCCGTTCAGAAAAAAAAAAGTCTGGCACAAGTTGGGCTGATGGGACAGGCAGAGAACCACCACAAACCGGGGGCATTCTCAGAAGTCAGAAGGATGCTGAAAACCTTGGAGGTGGGTGGGCCTGAATTGTCTCTCGAGATGGCGACGCAGGCGCCATGCCACGGTGGATCGCTCCTGGCAGCCGGGCAGCCACAGCCTGGTGCCCGGTTGAAGGTCGCAGAGATGGGCATGCCACGCCTTGTTCCTCCCTGGGGCATAGGCAACCTGTTTTTGATTGTTTGCCCATCGTTGGTGAGTCTTTTTGTTTATCGGCAACAAGTTATTGCGTCCTGAAATCAGAGCTGCGGACCAGACCAAAAAGGTCACAGGCTGCTAAAAAACCTGGAGGCGAAAGCTGTGTCACACGTGTTTTCCTCGGCTTTTCTGCAATTTGTCATCTCTGGCTCATGCTTGGCAGTGAACAGGAGAATTAGGACAGCATTGTGTTTATGCAAAAATGGTCAAAAACCCAATGTTTTGTTTTGCATAGTTGCAGTTCAATTGCTCGAAAATCTGAATCAACCAACTGCAGCCAACGCCCGGCAGAAATCCTTCTCGAAGCCGATACTTAAAACAGCGACGTATGTAGCGAAACACATGAGAGTGGCAATGATACAATTTGTCTAAACATTGAGTCCCCCACTATGAAGCAAGAGGGTCGTTTGCGTGCTCCCATCGTCACAGAGACTCTTTTAGCAAATTAATGTTTGCCGGGATGGACATAGTGGCGCTCCAAATGCTTCTTGCCAGCAGTTGCAATTAACATTGGCCATGCATCAACCTGTGTGCACTCATGTGTTCGTACGGTAAGATGCCCCATCCCCCCATCCCCCCTTCCCCGCCCCCACACCCCTCCCCCTCTCCGCCCCCTCCTCCAGCCCTGCTCACAACTGCAACTCGACACATCAGAGCCTAGCAGCTAGCAGCAAACAGCAAGAAAAGCACATTGGTTTGCTGGAGCGTCGGGATTGGTCCCAGCAGCCAGTGTTCTCTTATTTGGCTGAGAGCAGCTGTTTGCCAAGCCTTGGTGAAAGCGTCAGGCACGATGGGGCAGGCAATGGTCACAAGACCCTGGCTGGCTTGTTGGAGTTTGTTCATGCTTTCCCGAGAGGAGAAAATAGATGTAGCCAGGATCTCTTACCTGTAGATGTACATGATGGTTTTCTGTGCCTACCAGTGGCCTAGCCGGAAGCCCTCAGACAGGTCTCAAGAAGCTGGTTGAGAACGTGCTGCAGTTTGTGGAGGAGCTCCACTCTCGCGTGCGCTCGGTGGAGCGCCTCGGATGGAGTTTTCGAGCGCGCAGTCGGATTTGGGGGGGTGCCAAAACGGGGCGGGTCCTCGATATGTTGGTTTTCCTTTGGTTTTCTTTTAAACCCACCCCAAGAAGGGTACCCACCGAAAAGGACTGACCTGTATAGGTATCTGCTAGTCCATAGTTGTTGATTTGTCCCAAAAGGAAACAAAACATGAGATTGGCATTTGTTCAATCTTTCCAGAACCACCTCTGGTTGAGGCTTGGCACTGGTTTCAGTTTGCTGCTTGGAAAGTGCCAGTGCTGTGAATTTGTCCCAAAGGGCTTCCTAAAATCGGAACAGCCACGGACGGAGGGCGTACTGAATGGAGTCCTTGTGGTTTAAACCCAGCCAGAAGAGTTGTCCGTTTTTTTTCTTTTTCGGATGGACCCAAATGATTCTCCTTCTCACATCACTTGCAAAGTGAGATTTTGAAGAGATGATTGATTCTAGCCAATGAGGTGGGATACAAAGCAGTGCAGTATGCAGGGCTCAGGCTACATGGTTGAGGGATTACTGGCAGCTGTCAGGCAATATCATGTGTAGTGTGTCAGAAACGGCCAGCCCAAGGAATAACACTCTGCATATAGTCCTGCTAAGGAGTGCAGCAACGAACAGCCCACTCGACGTCAACGTTTTCAAGGGGCGAAGCAGGCGTTCAAGGCCCTGGACACTGGATCCGATTCTGCAAATCAGGCCAAAAATGATTAAAGCCAGTTTGGGTGACTTCGGCAGACTTTCCAGACGTCCTCCCACCGCACCCTTCGGGATGTTTGGTTTACCCATAAACCGGCCACGATCCCCAGGGAGACCTCGTCGCTGAACGAGCTTGCAGCAGCTTGGATGGCAACCAGTGGCCTGTGTGTTCGGTGCTGACTGGCTAGAATAATAATGTTCCGCACACCGCGTTCAGTGGCTGACCAGATGAGGTGTGCCGGGTATGCATGAGATTGTATTAATAAATAACCCCTTGCCACTGCGCTATACCAAGTTTCAGGGTAAGATTGCCCACGCCAAATGGGACTTCTGTTACATGGTCTTGATGAGAGTAGCTTTTACTTGTTGCTGTTAGTACTCTCACTGCTTGACTACCTGCCACACTGAGGCGCTGGGGTTCAAGATTGTGAGTCAACTCATGTGTTGTTTTGTCTTGCTACCGCGTGCAACGATGGGAACCTTGCAGACTCCGCATAGGCAGCCTTTAGATCGAGAACTCTTTGAAAATGAGCGTTTGTTGAGGATCAGGGCAACAGAACGGATGTAACGAGCTGTCAAGTCAATGCTTCAGTTGTGAAGAAGTCTGTACAAGGTGACACCCGCCTTTTTTCGAGACACCTTTCAAGTCCCGCAGTTCGATTTGCGTGACGGCGGCGTACAGGCTGTAGGCACCTTCAGGCCCGCTGAGGCTTTTCGCGGTAGAGTGGCGGCACCGGAAGTTGTTAGATTTGCTCTTTCGCAGGCTCTCCGAGGCTCTCCGAGGCTCTCCTCTAACCCTGGGCCAATTTCTTAGTCGACTGAAGAGCACCGCGGAGGGCGCAGGTTGAGCCTTCAAACGTTCTGGTTCCCCTTCTTAACTCTTGCGCCCGCCTGGCCTCCAGCTAGAGAAAGACGCGATCAACTTGAACTTTGGAGGACCTCCGTTGCGTAGCTCCGCATGGGCGCCCTTGTCTGATTGTGCCGCTAGATGTTGAGTTGATGATGCCTTGAGTTCAATAAGCAACTTTGTTCACAGCACGTCTACCATCAATTCCTTAAATGCTATTTCTTGGTGACGGAATTGCAGCATTTATGTTCAGTTGTTTCCTTTAGTTAAGGGCCACATAGAGACATCCCCGAGCCACACTAGGGCCTATGTCCTTTGTGGGGCCTGTTCGGATCCAATCTTGAGCTGGGGCTAGCAGCATTTGGATGATCAGGACCTCAAGAGGCAAGTGGACATTCTGCAGGGAGAGACCTTGATGAGCTTTCATCAGCTCCAGCAAGCAGTGGCTCGGCTGTGTTTGGCTCGCGACAGCTTGCGCGAGCCTGCAAGTTTGGCAACTTGCGCTTCGATGCTGATGTTCGACTTGTGCGTTCCACGTGGAAGCAAGCCACGAGTGTTTTCATGAAGAAACAGTACAGAAACATTCCGGACTGTCACGCAGTACTTCACCCAAAAGGGAGGCATCGACAACATGTTGAGATTGCGTGCCTGCAGTTAGCTTGCGCGCGGTTCCGTTTGCTACGCGCGTGTCGGGCATAATGTGAAAGCCTCCTAGCAGAATTTGTAGAACCTCGTTGGTGCCGCGTCACTGATGTAATTTAGATTCCCAACTCGTCTCCTGCTGTCAAACCGGCGGGTCATGTGAAGCCTTTGGGTTCAATGCTCAGCTTATTCTCGTTCGCTGTGCTCGGGCTTGGGCTTCGAAGACAATCTAAAATACCAATTGGGATATGGAAGCAGTCTCCTTTGTGGTTTTTTCATCCACTGGGGAGCAGGTCGCAAAGCCTCGGCTTGCCTAGCCAAGATGTAACACACGGAACAGGGCGAGAAAACCAAGCCAGCCGATATGGGTGTTTCTGAAAAACAGGCCCCTCTTAAAGGTTGGTGCCCCTCTGGTTTTCCTTGAAATGCCAACTCAAAGGGGTCCACTTGTTTGAATGGCTTGAGCAGACCGAGAAGGGCTTTCCATATGGTACCAGTCTTTGTTGTAGTGTTTCCAAGGGTTTTCCATGTAGTTTTTCATGTGGTTCCAAGGAAGGGGTCCAAGTGGGGCTTGGGTGGTGCCGCTATCACCGCAGGTGGCGGACCTCAACTGTCACCGAGTGCAGGTGCGGGAATGATTCGCTGTCATTGGGATATCTCCGTAGATTTGTGGGTAGTATGGTGTTGTTCCCAGAATGGGTTCACTTGGCTACGTCATTAAGGGCAGGTTCACTCAGTGGGTTTTTTGCAAGCGCGGTGTCTAGTGCAGCTGCTATTTTTGTTCCTATCAATAAAAGGTTGCACGGACGGCCGGGCCACTATGCTTCCTCATGGCCATTGTGCTATCTCGGGATTGTGCGTTCCTGTACTTTCTTGAAATGGAACCTTATATATAACCCTGAGAGGGAGCGAGTACTCGTACTTGCGGCCATGCCACCAGATGCTGCTGGCTCTGGTAGCGGTGGTGATGGTGGTAGGTAGTGGCCACACTGATACTTACTTCGAGTTGGTATTCTGATGTGAGCTGTGCCGGTAGTTGCTATTTGTGTGCTTTGCTTGCGGTTCTGGCATGCTGCTGGATTTCTGTTTGTTGGCCGTTTGTGGTTTCTTCAACAAAGCAAACACAATTACTTGTTGCTGCCGGCGTGTTGCTGAGCGCTTTGCGAAGACCCCCGGAAATGATCGAAGAGGATGACCCAATTAGACTCCATCTCGCCTGATCTCACCCCACCCCTTGAAACGCCTCACGAGTCCTCAACCCACCAGCACGTGTCCAGGATGTCCAGACACCTGGGCGAGGACGGGAGTGCCTGCCAAGTCCTATTTACTTCTTTCCTATCAGCGGGTTTTCCTGCTGGATGTTGTCAAGTCTTATTCTCGATGCTGGATGCCTGCCTCTGTGTGTGTGTGTCGTCATGTTTGTCCTATCCAAGGTTGTTTCTGTCCATTTTCAGTGTATGAAGTTGATGACTCGCGCTTCGGGCTGGGAGGGATGACGCCTGAGCTTCTAAGACCTCTGGTGTCAGTTTTTCCAGCTGGACATTGCAATATAGTTGCTCAGATGAGCAGAAGGAGATGTAGAGCAAACCTGAAGACAAAGAAAGATAACAACAACATACAGAAAAGGAAAGAACACATAGAGAGAACAAAAGAGAAGTGAATAAATATGGAATAAAGACAGCAATAAATAGGAACAGTAGCAGACAGAGAAAGACAAGAAACCGTGTAAGTTACAGAGAAAGAGAGAAAGAGTCAGATAAACCTGAGAGAACGAGAAAGGAAAAAGGGAGAAAGAGCGAAAGAGCAATACAAAGAGAGAGAGAGAGAGAGCAGAAAGAAAGAGAGATAGAGAAAGAGAGAGAGAGAGAGAGAGAGACAGAGAACGGGGAGAAGAAGCGTGCTTCAAGCTATACTTCTTTTATTTTGAAACTTCCGCCTGTACGCAGATAACATAATATCTGCCACGAATGCCCTTTCCCAAATGCGACCGCTGCCCATGATAATTTGTTCCGCATCAATCTGCAAGCGCGCAATCGAAACCATGCACCCTTTCTGCTGACGGGATTCAAAGCCAATTTGGAGGGCTGCACCTTCACCACACAGCTGCTATGTTTCTCTGGGAAGTGCGGGCTTGCCAACGCCGCTAGGATCCAGTTCTGAGGCGCAGTCATCGCATGGCCGTGGTTTGGGCAAGCCTTGGGTTGAGGATCGAACAAAAGCGATCGGGGCTGACACTTTCCATGCAGCGGGTCAATTAGAGCAAACACGAGGTAATTAGAGCAAACACGAGGTTTCGGCCCAGCCCTTTGTGAGTGAAGAAGGGCCTTCATAGGGTCGTGTATTGATCTCTGTGAGTTTGGATACGTCTCCTATGGCAAGAGTGCAAGTCGTTGCATCATTCTGAGTAACATGCATGTATGTATGCGTCTATGTAATTTTGGATGTGTGTGGTTCATCTGGCCAAGCAACGGTTCAGTGAAGTGCTAGCAGCTGCTGGTTTTGGCGCCTTGGTCCATTTGCCTTGCATGCACCTCTTTGAGAGCATCTCGCTGATTTGACTGAACAATTGGCTATGGTATGGAACATGATCCAAAGCCTCAATCCAACCTCCGCCTTTGTCCTGAGGTTCGCTTTCAACATGTTTTTGTGTTTGCAGCTTTAACACCATGCCTTCCGGGAAATTGTAAGCAGGTTGGCTCAGCAAAAAGTTGTCGGACCCATGCCGAAGCACGGTTGCCATGAGATGCGCAATGTTGGAAGTGTTGCCTCCGTGAGACATGCAGTCTGCTTGGCTGCTCTTGTCTTCGATGTTTAATTTAAACCTGCAAGTTTTCAGGAGAATGAATGGCAGATTCCCCTCCAACCTTGTTTCTGCGCTGTGTCTTGCAGGGGCCAGCCCAGGGTGGTGGTTGCATGTTTGCAGTCAAAACCCGTGCAGGTTGTACACCTCTCCACCAGATCTGCGTTTGCAGCCCGCGGTTTCGGCTTGGGCTGTAGTTAGGTTAGACATGAACTATAGGTTGAAACCTGAAGCCACGTCTTAGACCAGATTCCACAGAACAGATCTTCAAATGAAATAGATGCAATTTGGCAGGACTGATTTTTGGCAGTGGTACAGTGGATGACTTTGTACTGGAGAAAGAGCTGAATCTTCCAGGCCCCCGCGGACGGCCAAGACATTGCTTGACACCGCTTCATTTCCAGTCCAGCAGTTCCCATAGAGGCAGGAGCACCTTTCACCCGCATCCAGCAACTCATTCCAATCCACACGGAGACTGCGAAGCAATAAAGCCATGGATGCAAACACAACACAACGTAGGCCAAGCGGCGCACGCTTCTGGGCCGTTGCCTGATGATGGGCTCATGGCTTCGCAGGCCGTGGGCAGCGAGTTTGTTCAGTGGGTTCAGCAATCCTTTCTATAGGATCATGTGTTTCTTTTTAAGGGTACCCTTTTTGGGTTTGTTTAAAAGGAAAACACAGGGAGACCACCCATGTTTGGAGTCCTCCGTTCTTGAGACGGACTGAACTGTTTGGGGGTTATCAGCATTAGATGTTGCATTCCTCAGTTTGTTGTTTCATTTTGTTTTTGCCTTTGTTTCAAAAGGCCTGGCCAGCCCTCAACACACATTGAAGCTGAGAGCGTCAGCTCAAGACTGTCGTCTCAGAAGCGGCTCACCATTTCCAAACTCATTTGAGGGAGATTGAAGCGTGCTTTCCTCGCTCGTGATGGTGTGAAGCCGTCTCTGTTCAAATTGGCCCTTGTCCCTTTCCACAGCTGTGCCACACACACACACATAGAAAACAGAACAACATGAGTGCATACAACATGTTGACTGCTTGTCCACTCTCATGAACCTTTCCCAAACCTTGTCACTTGCTACGCAAGGCCGATGACTCCAGCGGCGATGAGGTCTGCTTTGCGGGCCAGCCCCTGCTGGCCGAAAAGGAGCCCTCTAGCGCCTCGGATCGAGGTTCCCGCGCGTGCGCACGGGCGCGCATGGAGACCTTGGGCGTCAAGGCAAGGGAGGCCAATGGCAACGGCAAGGACAGGGCTGAGAGCGAATGGCGTCGTGAGATTCGGTTGGATTTGTTGGCATTTTCACGGCCAAGGCATGAGTTGCCATTCTCGCAGGCAAGCCCTACACACACGATTATGTGTGTGTGTGTGCCACATTTAATGGTTGTTTTTTGCGAGACATTCATCTACTTGCAGCGGACATTGACGACTTCCCGATTCCGAGGGTGATGCCTTTGTCCTGTGCGAAGTGCCCTCTGACACAACCACAACCAATCGCGAGGATCGCACATGTGGTTTTTGATAGTTATTATTCCATTCCCTTGTGTTGTCAACAGAACTTCAAGCATAGGTCTCAGGTTTTTGTTTGCCTCTGGTCCCTTGAGGAGAGCCCGGCGTTCTCGCCACCCAGCGCCAACGAACTGAAGAGCAAGTTCGATGTGTGCCTCGCGGCCAATCCGATGACGCCAGTGCATCCGGCTTCGGAGCTGGGGCCAGATGGCTCTGAGCTGCCCACGAGCCTGCTTGTCAGAGAACATGCATCAGACACAGAGAGTGAGACTTGGTCTGCCAGCAAAGATGTTTTTTCAGAGGTTGCTAGTTAGTGCAGTTGGATCATCTCATTGGGATGGAATGGAGTTCTAAGTAGTGGTTTGCTGCCCTGCTGAAGGAGGAAGTTGGCAGAGAAGAGGGCACTGGCTCGTTCCGCAGCTGGTGGTCGCAGTTCTTTCACTTGCGGCAGCTGACCACGCCTGGTGCTGCCACGCTGACTGTTTCGATGGCCAGATGCTTGGCAGTTGGCAGAAATCCTCATCAGTGCGCCCAGACATACACACAAACAGACAGAGAGAGGGGCGCAAAGACACATAGACACGCAGATACACACATAGGCACAGAGACGCGCACGCACACAGAGACTGAATGTTGCAGTGTGCAAACCGATTTGCCAAACCAGCGGCGACAACGAATGCCAGGGAGTGACTGATCCATGTTCACTTCCGAATGGGATGGCCCAAGCAACTTGTCCAGCCAAGCCAATCGAACTATACTTGCTGCTAGGCGCCTACACCTACCAGGCAGTGCTCACTAAATGTGCTTCGAGCACTAGACTTGATGCACTGCCACTCCTGACAGCTCCAAGAAATACCAGGTCTGGCTAGAGGCTTTTCACTTGGGTGTGTGTCAACAAAGGTACCCAGAATGGAACCCTGGAAAACGAAAACCTGCGTCCATATCCCGGTGGTTTAATTTGACCTATACAAGACTTGACCAAAGCTCGGCGATCGGAGGAGCGGACATCCACGACACCGACCTCACCTCGTTGACCGCGGCCTTGGATCGCATGCTCGCAGTGCTCCGCGAGGCCTCAGAGTCGGACACCCGCGCGCCGGTGCGGGTGCTGGCGGAATTTGATGCCCGGCGAGTGTGTGTGATGCCTTTCGGGTGGCCCCCCGAAATTCATCAAGACAAATGTTCAGAGAGAACTGGAGGAACATGTTGAGGGATCCTGAGAGTCCTCTATGAATCGGTCAATGACTAATCAAAGATAATCTTTCAGTCCCAATAGCTTGTCCTTGATTTTGAACACAGCATGTACGCACTGACTTCTGGTCGGCAGAAGGGTGAGAATGGATGATGAGTGTTGGATAAGTTATGGGCATGGGACAAACCCTGCCCCCCCGGAAGAAAGCATGCACTTGTAGTTATCATCCCGGGCAAGTAGTTGACGATTTGTGAAGTGGTTCTTAGGTTTAAAGATGAGTAGTGGAGGTCAAACTGCTGGAGTTTGCTAGCATGTTGGTGCCATGTGGGAAGTTGCCCTTGATCTTTGCCGGCCTATTGCTTTGCCAAGCTGTTGATGGCTTTCTTGGGTGAATCGCATTTCTCCTATAGCTGTCCAAGCATCCAAGAGCAGCCACGCCTTTTCTGGCCTTTGTCAAACCATTTCTTCAGCGGGCTCCTTAGTTGAGCGGGCTCAAGCATCAATGATTGATCCTTTGTGCAGTCGTTTGGCTATTATGAAGCTGAGGATCTGTCAGACAACACGATCTCTGATGCTGGGGCCGTCTGGCTTTTCCGATGGCTCATGCAAAGGCAGCGCGAAGTACGCTGTCGCGCCATCCGACTGGGCAACAACCAGCTCACAGACGCATCTTTAGAGTGGCTTGCCGCCTTGATTCGCCAACAGCACTCCGCAATCGAGGAGAGTTTAGCGTTCAAGATGTTGCATGGTGTTTGCGATCGTTTTGGCTAACCATTACACGTGTGTGGCTGTGTGTCGTGTTTGCTTGATTTTGCTTGCTCGCCTGCAAGTCTTAGTTTGCTTTGCTTTGCCTTCGGTGGCACATAGTTACTTGTGGTTTGCTAATTTATTACTTCCTGGTTTCATTTTGGTATTCCCATGTGCACGTTTTTGTTTTTTCATGGTGGTGTGGTAATTTCAAGTTTCCCTGGTTCATTTTGGTATTCCAACGTTCGTGGTAAACAAAAAGTCTCATTCGATGTTGTTAGGAGATCCACCTCGCTTCCAACCGCATCACCTCCTCGGGCTGCGCCTTCGTGCTGCTGGCGCTGGCCCTCCACCCCTTGGAGGCCTACCCCTGGCTGGACCGCGCCGGACGCTTCGCGCCCTGCTGGCTGGACCTCCAGCAGTGCCTCGGCGTCCATGGCGTCGTCTTTGTTGGTTTGGGGCCTGGGGACGGTGGGTTGGAAGATGGCACTCAATCAACAATAAGAGAACCAGTCAAAAAGAAAACACACGACTACCTGTTGGGTGGGTCGTTTTGTTTCCTGTCCTTTTTTTTTGGCTGTGTGCTTATTTGTTGTTACATTTTGCAGGTCTTGTTTGAGTACACGGGTGGCTAGTGCGTTGTTGGCTCGCTTGAAATCGCAGGAAACCAGGATGTATGTGTGGGTGGTATGCGGGGTCTGCGCCCAAGCAGGTTTGCCATGTCCAAGTTGACTTGAAAAAGGGTGCCCTAGCTTCAGGCTAGGCTGTTGCCGTGATGTTGTAGCAAATTGAGTAAGGCAAGGGGGTTCGGGCAAGACACTACAATCGCTACATTAGGCAATCAGCTGCTGGCCTCCAAACTTGGATTGCGCAGGGTCTTGGGTCTTTGGAGCACTTGACGTGGCACTGCGCACA